TATCACCTAGTGGTGATTATTAGTGACTAGATAGTTCAAGATGATAAAATCGTGTGGATCCTGAGGGATCACAATTCCAGATATGTGGGTGTCCTGAACCAGGAGTGATAGATGATGTGATTCAAATGAATGAAATACGCACTCACCAGAAGTGCGTTTAAAATACGCAATATGAAATCCTGCGTCATCAAGCAGTAAGTAGGTTATCCGTTTCCAGGTCAGGTCACACCATAAATCACCTTCCAGGCTCATCAGCGTATTAGGTTCCCTGGTCCGTTAGCATGTATCACCATCTGGGGTCATCTCTTTGCTGTATGGGCACTGCGAATGATGGCACTCACACGGAGAGCCCAATGAGAGACCACATAGCGTGATACTGTATAAAGTACCTTTATTTCAGATAGTGGGTACAATCAATGCTATAACAATAAAAGGTACTGACCATGTGTTCAGGATGGCCACCAGCGGTGGTCAGATGTCCAGTTGCTGTAGCCCCCCTGACGTGTTTCGTGCAAAGCACATAGTGATAGGGAGAAAGGGCTTACACAAAGGTACTTTATACAGTATCACGCTATGTGGTCTCTCATTGGGCTCTCCGTGTGAGTGCCATCATTCGCAGTGCCCATACAGCAAAGAGATGACCCCAGATGGTGATACATGCTAACAGACCAGGGAACCCTATACGCTGATGAGCCTGGAAGGTGATTTATGGTGTGACCTGACCTGGAAACGGATGACCTACTTACTGCTTGATGACGCAGGATTTCATATTGCGTATTTTAAACGCACTTCTGGTGAGTGCGTATTTCATTCATTTGAATCATATCATCTATCACTCCTGGTTCAGGACACCCACATATCTGGAATTGTGATCCCTCAGGATCCACACGATTTTATCATCTTCAACTATCTAGTCACTAATAATCACCACTAGGTGATATTATCTATTCTGCACTTGCTGATATTGTATCATACAGTATATACCGTATATATTTATTATTCTTTAGCGCTGCACCTATTTTACTGTGATATGTCATGCAAATGTGGACTGTCTTGTCTGAGTGAATAGAAGACAGTACGAAAACATTTTGTTTGTCCTTCCACTTCATTGCAAGAAGTTCTTTATTGCACAAGCAGGCTTTCTACCCCTTTATAAGTCCAGGTGTTTTTAAAAGCTGGGAAGCCCAGAAATTAGGCCGCACAGTACACAGCAGCCAATTCCACCATTCAGTAAGTGTCTAAAAAGTGGTACACTTGCATAATAGTTGTCCACATACAAATGGTATCCATACTATCTTGCCACTGCTCCCCATTTAGTCTGGGCATGCCTATGTTAAGGGCTAGGCCCAAAAAAAATTTTAAACTCGGAAACCGTGATACGTTTCCACTTGAATGGTCTGACAAGGTACGAACTTGGGTTGGCAGCGATGTATTATTGTGCATAAAGGTCCACAATTGATACAGATCTTTCATGAAAAAAAAGGGGATTTGTTAAATTTGCTGTTTCCACTTAAATTCCGGGTTAGGCTGTGAATGGGGAGATATCAGGCTCTGCTGAATCTGGGGCCTGCCAATCAGGATTTGCAATGGCGTTTATAGTGTATCTGTGATAGCGTTGCTAGCAATCAAATGTGATGGTGATAGTGTGGCAGCCAATCTGACGCTGTCTGGGAGGGATGCTAACGCTATCTGACTTTGCCTGTGATACTAATACAGTGATCAGTAAAAAATTCTGTACACTGTACTAATGACACTGGTAACAGGGCAGTGAAAGGGTTAACTGGAGGGTGAGCAAGGGGTTAAATGTGCCTAACCAAGTGTTTGCAAGTGTAAATGTACTGTTTTACTCACAGAGGATCTCTTCTCTCTGGGACCGAAAAAAACTCAGAGAGAAGAACTGGCCAGGTCCTGTGTCTGTGTTTACAAGCAGGTCCAGGCCAAAATTTACTGGCCTGGACCTAATGACCGATCTGTGCTGTACCAAATGGCAGCACAGATTGGGTGGTGTGCGCCAGGGTCACTTCCTTGACAGGGGCAGGGATCGTAGACTGGATGAAATGTTTAACTGGTAAGTAGCGGAAAATTTCAGCTGCGGGCAATTTATCATCCATCTGCAAGCTATGAAATGACTTAGTGCCATGGAATGTCAGGAGGCAATGTATTTCAGTCTATGCAATGTCATAATGCATGTGAATTTTCCCATCCTGGTGGGCATATACTCTTTTTAAGAGCAGCAGCTTTATAATTTATTTCTTACATAATGACATATATGTATATAAGGTATCAGGGTGGGCAGTGTTGTGGAGGAGTGTTGGGTGCGGGTGCTTTACCGCATTGTGAATGAGGATGGATATACCTTGGAAATCCTTCTTGCAGCACTGAGACTGTTCAGATATGATGGTGCCTATTAATAGACGTGTCTAGTAATCCAGCTTGTGGTTGCTGAGATTGCAGAAATCTATTTCTGAGCTAAAAGATGATCATAAGTCTTATTAAATTTTTAATAGATTAGTGACTCCGGGGGGGAAGGTTTGTTTCCTGCTCTGATTGGATTCCAGCTGAAAATAGTAAATGTACAGCAGTTTGCTAATTGTCAGGCCTGCCCTAGTCTGGTTGAGCCCATACTCTGAACCCGGGCACTATGAGCTGTGACAGGGAATGGAGTATAATCTGCAATATTGCACATATTGGTTTCATTTCCTATTCATTCTCTTATCTACAGTCATCTTCAACATCATAGCCACTTCTCTTACCTGCTCTGTATCAACTCCTGAAAGAGACAATAACTTCTGATTTAAAAAAAAATAAATCAAACCTACTATACATTCTGAAGTGTTACTAAATCCAGGACCCTGCATTTATTATATCTGTTCTTCCAGAGTACTGTACACAGAACATGGAAATGCAACTATTGTAGTGAACATAAACTGCTAAATACCTTTTCTCATCAGCAGTATATAGCAGACTTGTGACTTCTATCAGTGTCAGGCTGAGCACTGGTTAAAGCTTTTTTGAGTTTTCATTCTCCTCTGACTGTCCTTTGAGGCTGCCCCTGACCCTCTGCCTGGACAGTGCTGATTGGCTCTGTGCTGATCATATGCACCCTCCCCACAAAAACAACCTGTCTAGCAATACACACCCAAACTGAGCATGTGCAGAGTGCCTCCTAGGGCTCTGTACTATTAGCAGATGGATTGGGATTGTGGAAGAAGGGGAGGATCAGAGAAGACAGGATCCAACATCCTTTTTCTCAATTTGGAGGTTTAACCCCTTAGGTTCCACAGTCAGTATAACAAGAATGCTTTACTGCATATCATACTAATTTTACTGTTGTGGGCTTAGAAGAGGAACTTTAACCCAGAAAAGTCCCTTCTGTTGCTCTCAGCCTCTTCCAAATCTCCAAATAGCTTTTTTTGCTGCTGTGATCTGACTTCCTGTTATATGGTGGCGATGTTTGTTCTCCATGGTCTCACTTTATGTAGGAGGAACCTAGCCACCCTCTCATGCTCAATCCTTATTAGGAGAATAACAATATCATTTATAGACACTTTAAGACTGTTATCTCTTTTGGACAATGGTAATGTACCTAGTGTATATTGTATAATTTATACATGTCATAGTCATTGTTCTGGTCCCTGTGTGTTCTGTGGAAGATGTTGGTGCCATGTAAATTAGTCCTAAAGCATATATCACTGTACAGAAAATTGCCCTTACCAATCATTGTGAACTGTGACTTTACATTAGTAAACATTTATAGGAGCCACAGTGGAAACCAATACACAGGGCCACTCATACAGACAGGACAAAGTAACAACTGAGCCACAATTGGAACCAGCACAGTATGAGATTAGTTGCAGATGTGAGATGACCATTGCCCAGTCTGTTTTTCTGCCCAAATGTTGACAGTTCTCTTATCTATAGGAGGTCTTCGGCTCCACTGACTGGCGCTGTCAAGAGAACTAGTTAAAAAGACAGATTATTAAACCTTTCCCAAATGTTACTGATCCCTCTGAGAAGCTGGCACCTGCTCTTCCATTCTCCATTGACATAAACGTAAGGTTGAAAGAGTTGGCCATACAAGTTTATGGAGTGCTCCATAGATGGCTTTCCCTGAGGACAGTCAGATCATACATGCACTTTTAGGGTTTTTCTAATGTTTTTTTAGTTTTATTCCAGCTTTACCTTCACACTACAGATGTGACAGTGATCCCACTCTCCTGTATTGATCACCTGATCTCTTGAAACCTGATTTAGCCATCTGCAGATCTCCAGGTTTTGCTGTACATGGTTTCCTGTTCTAGATTCTTCTAGTATTTCAAATAGCTCCAGGGTAACTTTAACTTATGAATTGGATAAGTGCAGTGATTTCCACTGAACCATGATGACCAGTCAGTCCTTAATTGAGAAGTAAAAACTGACCAACTGCAAAGCGTGACACCTCCATAATAGCTCCAGTGCGCATCATTCAACCAGGGTTTCTTTCTGATAAACCTTCCTAGTAGGATAGCAAGAACTGTTCCATATTTCACTAAATATTTTTAAATGTAGCTATAATATCCATGTGTTTACATCTGCCCCAGAAGGAGCTTCTGTTTCTTAGGTCTCAAGGATATGCACACTATGGGGCCTATTTGGAAGGAAGGCCGTTAACTGCCAGTAGATTTTTGGGAGGAACCTGAAGTACCCAGAAGAGGCCCATCTCTGTACAAAGAAGAAAACATACAAGTTGAAGATGGTGTCCCACGCCAGCTCAGCAATGCCATGGTGTTAACAAAGTTGATGTGTATTACAGTATTTTACTATTTGTTTAGCACTCAATATCATGGTAAAATAATTTGTAATCATTGCCCTTAATATGATGATGATGATGATTGAAAAAAGCTTATGAGTTGCTGTGGGATTTTATATATATATATTTCTTAGTGCTGTTAGAAATGTCATCTTTTAAATGTTTCAAATATCAGAAAAAGAATGTCATTCTAAATGTTACTGTTTTCCAGGTGAATGAAAAGGAAGACACATCCAATCACAGCAGCCTTAATGGACATGGAAATGGCAAAAGGAGGGAACGGCCTCCCATCACCAAGCCCAGCAATTCCTATGAGTTTGAGCAGCTGATGAGCGAGATCCAAGCAGAGAAGGACCAGGAGAGATGTGCTCAGCTACTGTCCCTCATAGATCCAAAGGACTTACCAACATATCTGAGCTACAAGCTGGACACAGAGACCCTTCTACTCATTGCACTGTCCTTGAAACATCATGTCCTGGAGGAGAACCCTGCCTTAGTGTACCAGCACCTGTCTCACCTCAGCACAGCTGATCGCTTTACGGTACAAGTCCCAGGATGATTTACAGCATTAGAAATGATTGTATCAGAAAGTAACAGAAGGGAATCCTGTATATGAAATTGTTCAAGGAGATGTTTTTTGTTGCTCCTACCAATCAGATTATCTTTTTTTGTTTGAAGATCATTCTAAACAAGTGTAATGTAGAATCTGATTGGCAGTGCTAGGCAACTATTTTTGTTTGAGATGCTTCCTAGCATGATGCTGAAAAGCATAATTTATCATTTGTCTCATCCGTGTTAGCCATCTGTAAAGATATTGTACAGTGGATATAGAAAAGAATCACCCTCTTTAACATAATCACATAATCATGTTGCTTTGCAGGTTGAAATGAAAACAGACACAGGTTTGTTTTATTCAGCTGTATATAGTCGGTGCAACTTATAACATCCAAGTAAAAGATAAAAAATAACAAAAAACAGACTCACTGAGTTGGAAAAAGGATCACCCCCCTGTGTCAGTAATTTTTTGAACCGCCTTTTGCTTTAATTACTGCCTTTATTCTGTTGGGATATGTGTCTACTATCATGTAATAAATGTGATTATCTACAATATTTGCCCACTCTTCTTTGCAGAACTGCTCAAGTTCAGTTAAATTTGATGGTGACTGTTTGTGGACTGCAGTCTTCAAGTAATTCCACAGATTTTCAATGGGGTTTAAGTCTGGGCTTTGACTAGGCCATGCAAGGACATTGATCTTTTTCTCCTTCAACCACTGTGTGTGGACATTTTTGCTGTATGCTTTGGGTCATTATTATGTTGGAAGGTAAACCTTCTTCCCATTGACAACTTTCTGGCAGAGGGCAGCAGATTTTCCTCAAGAATTTGATGGTATTTTTCCCCATCCATTTTTCTTTCTATCCTGACCAGTGCTCCCGTGACTGCTGCAGAGAAAACCCCCTATAACAGGATATTACCACCTCCATGCTTTACTGTAGGAATGGTGTTATTTGGATGGTGAGCTGTATTGGATTTCCGCCAGACATATTGTTTACTGTTGAGGAAAAATAATAAAATTTTAGTCTCATCTGACCAGAACACCCTTTTTCATGTAGCCTCAGAATCTTCAAGGTGTGTTTTGGCAAAGCTCAGTCATGACTGCAACCCTCCCATACAAGCCACATTTGTGGAGAATTTGTGATATTGTTGTCACCACTCTTTGTCATAAATCCCTGCAACTGCTCCAGAATTGCTGTAGACTTCTTGGTACCTTCTCTGACCAGTTTCCTCCTGGCTCTTTCATCCAGTTTGGAGCAACGTCATGATCCAGGGAGGGTCTGTGTTGTACCAAATACCTTCCTCTTCTTAATAATAGACGTCACTGTGCTTCTATGCATTGGTAAAGCCTTTGACAGTTTTTTGTGTCCATCTGCTGACTTGTGCTTGTCCAAATGTAAAGTTATGCACTTGGGGGCTAAGACTATGCATGCATTTTACATACTATGGGGAGTAAAACTGGGAGAATCAATGGTGGAGAAGGATCTGGTAGATCATAAGCCTAATAAGGTCATGTAATGCCAACCTGCAGTTTCCAAAGCAAGCAAAATCCTTTCTTGTATTAAGAGAGGTATAGACTTTAGAAAGAGAGATATCATTTTAGCCCTGAACAAATCATTAGTAAGACCTCATCTGGAATATGCAGTTCAGTTTTTATGCACCAAATCACAAAAAGAATATCGGGGAACTGAAGTGCAGAGAAGGGGAACCAAACTGATAAGAGGCATGGAGGAGCTCAGCTATGAGGACAGATTAGCTGAACTGAATTTATTATCTCTTGAGAAGGGGAGACTAAGGGGTGATATGATCAACATGTATAAATACATAGGTGGTCCATATAGTGAACTCCGTGTAGAGTTATTCACTTTTAGGTCATCACAGAGGACAAGGGGGCATTCTTTATGTCTGAAAAAAAAAGAGATTTAATCTCTAAATATGGAAAGGCTTCTTCACAGTAAGAGCTGTGAAAATGTGGAATGGACTGCCTCAAAAGCTGGTTCTAGCCAGATCAGTAGATTGCTTTAAAAATGATTTCCTAAATGCACATAATATAACTGAATACTAGCATTTATAGGTAAAGTTGATCCAGGGAATATCTGATTGCCCCTTGGGGGATCAGAAATACATTTCTTTTCCCTGCTTAAGCAAATTAGATGAAGCTTTGCTGAGGTTTTCTTGCCTTCCTCTGGATCAACTGTGGGTATAGGACTGTGTATATGGGATTGTATACATTTTTATTGGTTGAATTAGATAGACTTGTATGTAACTTGCCAGCCATAGTTGATTGTTTGCTTGAGTTGCACTACCAGGGACGGAAATGCTCCAGGAAAGCTCTTTTCATGCTGATTTAATCAAAACGAAGACAGCTGTTCACAGTTAAAAGTCAAATGGCTTTTTGTGTGCCACCAAGAAGGTGATTAGCTGTCAATTTTTTAGGAGGGGGTGATCCTTTTTCCAACTCAGTGTATTTGATTTTTTACATTTTTTTCTGACATGTTGGTGTTCTAGCTTTCACTTGGATGTTATAAGTTGCACTGAGTAAATATAGCTGGATAAAACAAAAACTGTCTTCATTTGAAGCTGCAAAGCAACGAAATGTGATTATTTTAAAGGAGGGTGATTCTTTTCTATACCCACTGTATATCATAGGGAAATTATCATGATGCAGCATAAATTGGGTATCTGTCCTATGTGGTCACTCTTAACTGATTTTTAAGTGAAAACACATGTGAAACCACTGTGTCCCATGACAAGGTCTAGGTTGTAGGGTCAAGAGTTTAGTGGTAGGACATGGACCTAGGGATCCTAAACACCTGGACAGTGATCTCTGGTATAGCGTAGAGTGTCCACCAAAAAAGAAAAGAGAGGGAAGGTGGGAGAGCCCTTATCGTGTAGTGGGTTAATCCACACGCGGTACAAACCTTCGAAAAACAAGATCAAAGTAAACTTACAACTGCTGAGACTGCGGTCACACACAACTGTTGAGGCTGGAGAAAACCTGTCTCCACACAGGGTCAGCATGGTTGCCCTGTTTGCCTCCGGGGTTCCCATCCTAGGTACTCTGTGGGGTTCTCAGGCAGGTAAACTAATCAATAGGAGGAGCCAGCAAAAAAAAAACACCTAGATTACATAATTTCCACAAGTGATACACCAATTTTACCACCCTGAACTGGGGAAGTGGCAGTTTAAAGCCATGAAACACGTTGTATTTGGCGAAATACAGAAACTGGATGTTTTAATAAAGCCAACGACTTGTGCCTATCCTTACAAAAAACAATTTGGGCAGCTCTGCCGATCGGTCCCCACGATGTGTTTTTTTTTGTTTTTTTTTTGCGCTGACTCCTCTTATGAGAAGGTCTAAGAGTTGTGTTTCTGTTACATTACACAATGGCAAAGTGTGACAGTGCTAGTGCTTATTCTGACCACTGTGGGAGGGGGGGGGGGGGGGGGGGTCAGTGGGAAACCGGACAAATTTCGATCCATGTATGGGCAGACTGGTTGTACAGAAGCTGATCTACCGATTGTCTTCTGTACAACCAGCCTGTTATTTTTTTTACAAATAAATCAGTGTGATAAGTGTATTCTAAAGTTAGGGAAGGCTTCCTGCTGTCAGAATACAATACCGCAGCAGGAGTGATTACCCTATCCACATTGAATGTGTGGGGGAATCGGGTCATTTTATTTTCATTCAACCCGATGGCTGATACAGTATAACCAGTTAAGTCAGCTTGCTAGAGGAAGTTGTAGTTTCCAAATACTGCATTGATGGAGCTTTAAAACAACTGTATATCATTTAGAATTAATGGCTTTATAATTGTAGACAACAGGGGCGGACGGACAACTCATGGGGCCCCTGGGCAATAGGGGATCATGGGGCCCCTGTGTCCTCGCCCACACCCAAAAAAGCCTATGAAAAAGCCAATGAAAGGTACCAGAGGCATCTCATGGGGCCCCCTACTGACCCCGGGCCCTTGGGCAATGCCCGAGTGCTCGAATGGTCTGTCCACCCCTGGTAGACAATATTTGTGCTGTTAAACACTTAGTGTAGTGCTTATGATGGTAATTAGTAAAAAAAAATGTCAATCCTCACAAGAGAAAAATAATAGTGAAACAATATAGTACATTAAAGTCTATACAAAATTCATCTGATCCAGTAGTGGTGGTGCCAAGTGAAACCAAAATCAAGAAGAAGAGATAGAATCCATCACCTATCACCTAATCATTTGGCCTCTTATCGGAGAGAGCTTGACCACTCGAAGGATTGGTCAAACAAAGCAAAGGATATCAAGCCCAGCAGATGAGTCCAGGCCTCCCAGATGGATCTCCATCTTGAGAGATCCATCTGGGAGTCCTTGACTCATCTGCTGGGCTTGATATTCACTTTGTTTGACCAATCCCTCGGGTTGTCAAGCTCTCCGGTAAGAGGCCAAATGACTGGGTGATAGGTGTTGGATTCTCTCTCTTCTTCTGGCTTTTGGTTTCACTTGGCACCACCACTACTGGATCAGATGAATTTTGTTATAGACTTTATTTAATGTACTATATTGTTTCACCATTATTTTTCTCTCTTGGGGATTTGGACAACATTTTTTTTGCTAATTTCCATTATAAGCGCTACACTAATTGTTTTTAGTTTGTTTATTTTCACCTATTTATTATGTCAGCTGCTAATTTTATTTGCAAATTCCCAAGCGCAGGTGTTTTACCTAATATTTGTGTTGTTCACCAGTGATGAGAATTCCTCCTGAAGATGCTAGTTGCTTGTGTGTCATAGTTTTGATTCTTTGTGAGTATTAACATGTAACTGCATAATTGTTATGGGCTGGAGACTCGCAGTTCAGTAAGGCTGTATTCACACAGCAGTTTGTGTGTAGTGGTCAGCAAAAATCAGTAGATTCTTGCCAGGGGTAAATATTGCTGGCACACACTGTGTGATCAGCAACTACTGTCAGATTTGTACTCTGTACGGATTATTGCCACTTCTGTTTGAGACTAGGATGAGCGGTAACGTGAATACTAACCCTGGGCGCAGACAGAATTCATCCAGGATTTGCATTTCTGCAGAGTTTGGACCGCACACAAACCGGCCATAGCTAATCGGTCAGTTTGTGTGCTGCAATAAAACAGAGTGTTGCTATGTCCAGGGGCAGCTGTGTCTAATGCAGGCCATAGATGGGTCGAAAATCGGCTGAAAATTCGTCCAAAAGAATAATCGGACGATTTTTGGATCGTTCGTGGGTGAATTTGTCGGCCGTTCTTCGTGATTTTGACACATTTTTTTAATCGGTTATGTTGGAAAAAAAACGGCCGAATTTTATCGATCGGCCGATTTTCACAGCAATGATGGGCAAATCGGCCAATCTTTTTACCGATTAAAAAAAAATGCGAATGAGCCGTGACCTGCAAGAAGGAAAAGAAAAAAGACGATTAAGACAAAGAAAGAAGAACATCTGTATCTATTTGTATCCATTTCGGATACAGATGTTTCTATTCAGATACAAATAGATACAATGTTGCTACCGCAATACTTTTAAATGTCAAAAATAATAGCGGAGTGTCCCTGCAGAGAGCTCCGCTATTATATTTGACATGTAAAAGTATAGCAAAGTTGCAACATTGTATCTATTTGTATCTGAATAGAAACATCTGTATCCGAAATGGATAAAAATAGATACAATGTTGCAACTTTGCTATACTTTTACATGGCAAATATAATAGCGGAGCTCTCTGCAGGGACACTGCTATTATATTTGCCGGCTGTGGACAAAAATCAGCCGATTTTTTTTTTTTTTTCTACCAATGGTGGTAACGTCGGCCGTTTGAACGACCGATTTTTTTTTTTTTATAACAAAAAAAAAAAAACGGCCGGTTTTCGCCCCGTCTATGGCCTGCTTAAGCCACCGCTGAAAGCAGCAAATTATCGTTGGCTAAACTGCCATGTCAATGTAGATTAACTGAACTAAAAAAAAGTTTGCAATTATTGAAGTCTGAACATGTAAAGCATTTTCAGAAGAAGGTCAGCAATGGCAATCTCTATATTTCTCTCTGTATAGGTGTTTTTTTAACATACCACCATTACCTTTTGTTTTAGGCATTCATAGTGAGGGATCTATTGAGGGGAGAGAACAAAGTCACAAAATGATAATACATGAGGAAAAAAATAGGCTTTCTATAGTTACATATTAGATAGGTGCAGTCCGTTATGTACAAAAACTAAAGACGCTGATGGAAACGTGTAGCAGAAATTAATACTAGGGTTAATATAACTTCTACATCTTAGTGAGCTGACCCTTTTTTGTGAATTATAAAGTTTATGTAGTAACTTAGAAGAAGAGCTATGATGGGTAAAATTTGGATAAAAAATAGTAACTGGAATGTGTTTGTTTATTCTGTTCCAGGTTGTCCTCTCCTTCCTCAGCCAGGCAGAGAAAGATGAAGTTCAGGGCCTCCTTACCCGTCTAGCAGAGAAACATAGTGAAGAACTGGACCCTGATGCCATATCAAGCCTGGCAGAGCAATATGGACTCTGATCCCTAGACCAGCACACAAATTCTATGCACGGTTTGATCAATCTTATCATTAGGACGGAGAATCTATGCAAATCTCATTATCAAATAACTTGAGAACACATTCAGCATGACTGTTTAAATGTTATATAACTATAACATCTGTTCATCCATGGCCAGGTCACATGCTGGGCAATAGGGTGGCACACACATTAACATCTACTGTGTCATATAAAGAGCTGATCAGTACAGACTGCTCCATGCCGATCATTGCCCCAAATCTCCAGCTGCAGTACTGAAGACTAGTCTACAAACATCGATCAAGTACAGATACAGACATCGCCTGCAGCCCCCAACCCTTGACACACACCGTGCTCAGAAACTTTATTTTAAAACTTGAATCAAAAGAATCATACTGTCTATATGATGGTTCTGTCCTTTCAAATTTTGAGAAGCAATCACTATTCTTCTTAGGTTTTGTGAGTGCTTGATGGGGTAAAATATGGTTGGTTGTTGTGGTTTATAACACATGAACTTGTGATATTTAACAGACTTTGAAGCTGGATATATATATATATATATATATATGGTGTTTAAGTCAAACCGGGACTTTTGAGTTTATATAATAAAAGAAAAAATTTCCAGTGGAAACATTTATTTTTTGCCATACTCCCCTGCTACATTTATATACCTTTCCCAGCATTTAACTAATGCTTGGAAAGCTTTGGCATAGAAAGATTTGTCAGTACACCTAGGACAGCCTGCTTCACTTGCATTCACCGTTCCCACAGAAAGATTCTCTTGTGCAATTTCACAACAGATTATGTGTCGATTATCCAGGATCAGACGTTCCACGCGCTGAATGTTCACAGGAATGACTGCTGTGGGCTGGGAACCACCATGGCCCGGATCGTCACTGGCAGACGTACAGCCATCTTTGAAATGTTTCCACCATTCACATGTCTCGTCACCATACTGTGCTTGAATTCTTCTGTAGGTATTTGTGGGTTTCATCACACGCTGTTCCATGGACGCACTTACACTGTTGTCTGCCATCTTGGTCAATGGTTTCTGGACTGGTCCTCGACATGTGTGCCGCCTATCAGTAACAGGACACACTTGCTACTTACTACTGCATGTAGTACCGCCACGTTAGTATCCCTTTTTATACCTGTAAAATTTAAAGTCCCGGTCTGACTTGAACGTATGTGTATGTGTGCAAGATAGACCCAAGATAGTCATGTTTTATGGGTATATCCAGAGAACATATATCCCGAAGTCCCAAATCCTTTTTATTAAAAGAGCACAATAAAAATCCACAGTCTGAATAATAATGCTTGTAGAAAGTTGCCTCACGACATACATATCGGCAAACACAAGCTAAAGAACTGCAGTGGCAAAGATGGAAACAATTCTCATGTCACCCAGAGTCATATTCGCCCTTTGGGTTCCAGTGAAAATGTGCTGATGCTTCTGATTCAACTAATGTGATCTAATGTAATGCAAGGAGCAACTCGTGCCCTACCAATGCTCCAGAAGTGATGTCAATCAGAACCCAGGACTGCTGGGAGAAGGCTACTGCCAATCAGAATAGCGAGGCTTGAGCCGCAAGCAGGTTGGCCACCATGACAATGTGTTTTGCTCTCCAGGCGCCTTATCAAGTCCTTAGGCTTAGGTTGAACATTCAACACAAAGATGAAATGCACAATCCATAAATCAGAGGCAGTGCAAGATCAAACTATTTGCTCTCCCAATATGCATGCATACACACAAGGATTACTAATCATTTATATTTGCAGCAGAAACACCTTATGGTCTCTTCCTATACTGGGGTGGTTGCAATAAATGCTGAAAAAAATGATATATTGAGGTTTTCTTCCATGCAGCTGTTTAGACATCAACAAAACTATACTAAAATAACTGGATTAATGAAAGCTAAAGAGCTGTAAAACACATGCGGGCTGATATAATAAAAAGCAATATACAATAACCCATAGTAATGTATGACAAAGCATCTTCCACTGATCTGATTCCAGTATTCTGATTGGGTGCTAAGGGCCACTGCCTATTTTGTTGGACTTTCCTATCCATGTTCATGGATACTAAAGGGTGAATTTCTAAAAAAGTCACAATGCTGTTTGTCCTGTGAATCTGCATCTTCTGTGTGAACAGGGGACAAAACCTTATGTTACAAGACTATTTGCTAACTAGGTCAAATGTTATTTATTCATACAGAATAGAATGAATCAGAAAAATACCAAATTATGGCCACTAGATGGAGCTGATGATCAAATTTAATAAACACTTTCTATGGTCATCGGCCACATCTAGTGGCCTTAGTGCAGTATATTCTCCAACCTCTCTACTTTTTTGTGAATGAATAACATTCAACTGGATGAGAAAATAGCCCAGTAACATTTCATTTGGCTCATTTGCACAGAATAAATGTACAGGCAATTTCACAGGATGAATAGCTGCATTTTTTTTAAATACACCCTCAAGGGTTCATAATGTTTGTTGCCATCTCTTCATACTTGTCTTTCATTCATTCACAGCACAGTATGGGGGATTTTCCTTCCAGGGTCACACCAATTTATTGTTCGGTTGACAATGGTTTACTGTTGAATATGTTTCATCATGAACTGTACTGTAAATACTTGTTGGTTTATGAAAAGAACTTTATATTCAATACAGATCATAAGACAGTGCGTGTTAATCATAGTATTTGTTTACATATATTGCTTAATGCATATTTATCACAAGTGAAGATTTATTAAATATTTTTTCATTCATGAAAACGGAATATGAGGATTATTTTCATGGTTGAAAAACTTATCTAAAGACTGGAGGGAAGTGAAGGGGCCGAGCAGATGATGATTGCCTTAAAGGTTCAGGAAGGACCACGCTTTATAGGGTTTTTTTTTGGCCTTTCTCTGGATCGAATGCAGCTATAGGGTATATGGAGGTTTTACATGTATTTGTTCTACTTGATTCACTTGTCTTTTTTTTTTCAACCTATGTAACTACCTTCATGCTTCAGAAAATTATAATCTAGCTGCCTCCAGGTTACAAATTTTCCATTTTATGGAGCCTTTTTTTTGTGAGAGAGACCAATTTAGACTGGCTTTTAGATGAAAGCTTGATTCATGCAACCCATTTTGTTGTTTGCTTAATAAAAGTCCCTGTTTGGCAACTACAGCTTACCAGAGGTGACGGAGGGGCAGGTGACCCCACAACAGACTGAGTTACTAAAGGACCTGAAATATGAAAGATGTGTCCAAAAATGGCCTGCAAAATGCCTAGTCACCACTATTGTCTGTGGTCTTCCTCCAGCTAGTTTTTTCCCTATTGACTGACTGAGATACCATGGCTTGTTCTGCACAGTGTCTCTCTCTGGTGGCCATCTTGGTCGATGCAGGATTTGCTTCTTCACATTAGAGCTGCCCCTGATGCCTGATAATCTGATAACTGGCGGAGGATTAATCGAGCAGGAGATTCAGAAAAGCACAGATTCATAGAAAGAAGCAGGGGTGATCCTTGCACTACAGGTCCTTAGGTACAGCTTTCTCTCCAGCAAGGAGAACAGTGAGCCACACAGTTTTAACATCACCAATCCTCAATACAAATCTGTGTATATTTATATTTCAGGTTACTATATAGGCACAATTAACAAATCTATATGTTTTCCATCATCCCAAATCTTCAATTTTTTTTAAAGTGTCACTAAACCTAGGACCCTGCATTCACTATATATGGTCTCCCACAGTACACAGACAATTATTTTAGTAAATACAAACTGCCAAATACATTTTCTTATCAGCAGTTAGAGAAGTCTTGTAGCTTCAATCAGTGTCCAGCAGAGCACTAGCTAAAGCTTATAGGAGGAGTTTTCATTCTCCCATAGCATCTGTGCTGATCATAAGCACTCCTCCAAGAAAAAAAAACTCTCTAACAAACACACCAAACTGAGCATGTGCAGCTTGCCCCCAAGGCTCTGTTCTATCAGATGGATGGGGGGGCAGTATAAGAAGGGGAAGATCAGAGAAGACAGGATCAAGCATGCTTTTTAGACAATGCAGTGGATTAACCCCTTTGGTACCATAGTGAGTATAGCAAGCATGCTTTATTGCATATACAGACTGGTTTTACTGTTGTGGGTTTAGTAACACTTTAAGTTCAGGTCCACTTTAAGTGTTGCAGTAATGTAATCAAGTGGCTGGTGTGGTAAAAAAAACATGAACTGTTGCTGGAATGTTTTTGGAAAGCCATACAGAGGCTCATTGCTATTTGTATGAAAGAAGTCTGTATTGTCCAAAACAAGTAAACATTTTGTTTGTAAAGTGCTCAATAATGAAAAGATTTCCCAGCATACTTACCAGCTAGCCTGCAATTAAAACAAGATGGCCCTGTTTATTAATTTACGTTAAAAACATAGGTTTTAGTTCCATACATTTGCAAATATATTTGGAAGCTGCGCTGCCTCATCAAACATCCGCTGTAAAGTGCAGGCCTTCCTCTAATATTTAAAAGTCTCCATATTAGAACACATGTAGCAGTGGATAAATTTGGGACAGGCATGCCTGGAGGGAGAGCAATCGTCAAAGGCGCAGGGACACATTAAAAGCCCAGCAAGAGCACAATGGTAGCTTAAGGTGTCCAGTGTGTCCCCACGCTAAAATCATTAGCAAGCTATACAAAAATGGCAACCACCCCAATTTATACCTAGCTTTTAAAGTAGGGGGGAAGAGAACATTACTGCGCGGGGGGGGATGTGAAAGGGGCAGAAGACACTGCTATGGGGAAAGGAAAAGGGGGGGCAGGGGCAAAGAAAATACAATCTTCCATGGACTTAATATGCCTCTCAGCAAATTCCTTGGAGTGTCTACTTTCCAAAAATGGATCATCATGGGGGGTGTTTTACTATTCTGGCATCTCAGGGCTTCCGAAACTGTAATAGCTACTGAGAAAGTGAAATGAGGAAATAAGCTCTTGGAAAGAATAAAGGTGGTCATTGGGAGTTTGGA